CTTCAGGAGGGGCTGGGTGACCTTCGACCGCAGCGTGAACATCAAGGAGATCTGCTGGAGCCTGCAGAACATCCGCGTGCGTTTTGGGGCAAAAACCGGCCGGTTTGGGGCCGCGGGGGGCCCCTGCAGTTTGGGCTGATTTTGGTGCATTTTGGGCTGATTTTGGTGGATTTTGGGCTGATTTTGGTGGATTTTGGGCTGATTTTGGTGGATTTTGGGCTGGTTTTGGTGGATTTTGGGCTGGTTTTGGTGGATTTTGGGCTGGTTTTGTGCACTTTGGGGTGGTCGGATGGATTTTGGGGTGGGTTTAAGGTGATTTTTGATGGATTTTTGGGGTGATTTTGGCTGGTTTTGGGGTCCCCAGCTGCGGGAGTGCGAGCTGAGCCCCGGCGTGACCCGGGCTGGGTTTTGGGGTGATTTTGGTGGATTTTGGGGTGATTTTGGTGGATTTTGGGGTGATTTTGATGGTTTTTGTGCCGATTTTGATGGATTTGGGGCCGATTTGGATGGTTTTTAGGGTGATTTTGATGGATTTTGGGGTGATTTTGGTGAATTTTGGGCTGTTTTTTCCCCCCAGCTGCGGGAGTGTGAGCTGAGCCCCGGCATGAACCGGGCTGGGTTTTGGGGTGATTTTGGTGAATTTTGGGCCGATTTTGATGGTTTTTGTGCCGATTTTGATGGTTTTTGTGCCGATTTTGATGGTTTTTGGGCTGATTTTGGTGGATTTTGGTGGTTTTTGTGCCGATTTTGATGGTTTTTGTGCCGATTTTGATGGTTTTTGGGGTGATTTTGATGGTTTTTGTGCCGATTTTGATGGATTTTGGGGTGATTTTGGTGGATTTTGGTGGTTTTTGTGCCGATTTTGATGGTTTTTGTGCCGATTTTGATGGTTTTTGTCCGATTTTGATGGATTTTGTGCCGATTTTGATGGATTTTGTGCCGATTTTGATGGATTTTGTGCCGATTTTGATGGATTTTGGGGTGATTTTGATGGTTTTTGTGCCGATTTTGATGGATTTTGNTTTTGTGCCGATTTTGATGGATTTTGGGGTGATTTTGATGGTTTTTGTGCCGATTTTGATGGATTTTGGGGTGATTTTGGTGGATTTTGGGCCGATTTTGGTGGTTTTTGTGCTGATTTTGATGGTTTTAGGGTGTTTTTATGGCGATTTTTATGGATTTTGGGCTGATTTTGACCTTTTTTGGGGTGTTTCTTTGCCCCCCCAGCTGCAGGAGTGCGAGCTGAGCCCCGGCGTGACTTGGGCTGGGATTTGGGGCCGATTTTGATGGATTTGGGGCTGATTTTGATGGTTTTTGTGCCGATTTTGGTGGTTTTTGATGGTTTTTGTGCCGATTTTGATGGATTTTGGGCTGATTTTGACGTTTTTTTGTCTGATTTTGATGGTTTTTGTGCCGATTTTGATGGTTTTTGTGCCGATTTTGGTGGTTTTTGTGCCGATTTTGATGGTTTTTGGGCCGATTTTGATGGTTTTTGTGCCAATTTTGATGTTTTTTTTCCCCTCCCCAGCTGCGGGAGTGCAAGCTGAGCCCCGGCGTGAACCGGGCTGGGTTTTGGGGTGATTTTGGTGACTTTTGGGCTGATTTTGGTGGATTTTGGGACAATTTTGGTGGATTTTGGGACAATTTTGGTGGATTTTGGGCCGATTTTGATGGTTTTCTGCCTATTTTGATGGTTTTTGTGCCGATTTTGATGGATTTTGGGCCAATTTTGGTGGATTTTGGTGGTTTTTGTGCCGATTTTGATGTTTTTTCCCCCCCCAGCTGCGGGAGTGCGAGCTGAGCCCCGGCGTGACCCGGGCTGGGTTTTGGGGTGATTTTGGTGGATTTTGATGGTTTTTGGGCCGATTTTGGTGGTTTTTGATGGTTTTTGTGCCGATTTTGGTGGTTTTTGTGCCGATTTTGATGGTTTTTGTGCCGATTTTGATGGTTTTTGGGCTGATTTTGACGTTTTTTTGTCCGATTTTGGTGGTTTTTGTGCCAATTATGATGTTTTTTCCCCTCCCCAGCTGCGGGAGTGCGAGCTGAGCCCCGGCGTGAACCGGGACCTGACGCGGCGCGTGCGGAACGTCTCGGGGCTCACCCAGCACCGCCCGGTCGTGCGGCACGACATCAAGCTGGCCGCGCGCCTGGTGCAGGCGCTGGACGCCCGCGCCCGCCTCTGGAGCCCCCCGGGCGCCGAGGGCGACGCCGACGCC